GGCCATAATCTATTTCACATGACTGGGAATACAGATATGCATCTGTTGGTCACAAATACCTTTAAAACAATGGGCCTCACAATGATCCTCAGGATCTCGTCACGGTATCTCAGTGTATTGAAATTGGCATTGATAAATTGCAATTGTATTCGTTGTCCGTAGCTTATGCCTGCCCATACCATAACCCCACCGCTACCATGGGGCACTCTGTTCACAACATTGACATCAGCAAACTGCTCACCCACACGACGCCATACACATTGTCTGCGGTTGTGAGGCTGGTTGGACGTACTGCCAAATTCTCTAAAACTACTTTTGGAGGCGGGTTATGGTAGGGAAGTGAACATTCAATTATGTGGCAACAGCTTTGCTGGATATTCCTGCAGTCAGCATGCTAACTTGAGACATCTGTGGCACTGTGTTGTGACAACTGTAGATTTTAGTGGCCTTTTATTGTCCCCAGCACAAGGTGCACCTGTGTAATAATCATGCTGTTTAATCAGCTTCTTGATATGCCAGGTGGATGAATTATCTTGGCAAAGGAGAAATACTCACTAACAAGGATGCACAACATTTTAAGGAAAAATGCTTTTTGTGCAAATGGAAGATTTTTGGGTTATTTTATTTCAGCTCATGAAACATGGGACCAACACTTTACATGTTGCGTTTATATTTTTGTTCAGTGTAGTTACTCCACAAAACTAACCTAATTGACAGTGAAAAGAAGGAAACCTGTGTCGAATAAGAATATTCCAAAACATGCATCCTGTTGGCAACATTGCACTAATGTAATACTGAAACAATTTGGCAAAGCAATTACATTTTTGTCCTGAATACAAAGTGTTATGTTTGGGGCAAATCCTATACAACACATTACTGAGTACCCCTCTCCATATTTTCAAGCATAGTGGTGGCTGCATCATGTTATGGGTATGCTTGTAATCATTAAGGACGGGGGAGTTTTTCAGGATAAAGAAACTGAATTGGGACTAAGCACAGGCAAAATCCTAGAGGAGAACCTGGTTCAGTCTGCTTTCTACCAGACACTCCGATGAATTCACCTTTCAGCAGGACAATAACCTAAAACGCAAGGCCAAATCTACACTGGAGTGCTTACCAAGAAGACCGTGAATGTTCCAGAGTAGCCGAGTTATAGTTCTGACTTAAATCTACTTAAATATATGGTATGACCTGAAAATGGTTGTCTAGCAATGATCAACAACCAATTTAACAGCGCTTGAAGAATTTTGAAAAGAATAATGGGCAAATGTTGCACAATCCAGGTGTGCAAAGCTCTTAGACTTGCAGCTGTAATCGCTGCCAAAGGTGCTTCTACAAAGTGTTGCATCAGGGGTGTGAATACTCATGTAAATGAGAAATGTATTTCATTTTCAATAAATGTGCAACTATGTCTAAAAACATGTTTTAAATTTGTCATTATGGGGTATTGTGGGTAGATGGGTGAGAAAAAACTTAGCAATTTGGAATTTGGGCTGTAATACAACATTTGGAATATGTCAAGGGGTATGAATATTTTCTGAAGGCACTGTACATAGTCATTGAACATTGGTCACTTTAATAATGTGTACATACTGTTTTACCCACTTTATGTATATACTGTATTCTAGTCAAGGCTCATCCTATATAACTACTGCTGTATACAACCTTTTCTATTAATATACTGTCCATACTGTCTTTACACACCATTATAATTTACGTGTATATTTATATTCAGTCTGACATTGCTCATTCTGATATTTCTTTTATTTTTGAATTTTTCTGACTTGTATTTATTTTGCTAGGTATTACTGCACTGTTGGAGCTAGATACACAAGCATTTCGCTGCACCTGCGATAACATCTACAAATCTGTGTACGCAACCAATTTGATCAAAATGCAATACTTCCAAATGTAGCTGGCTGTCTTCTAAAAGTTGTCCTTTTACCAGTGATACAGTGAGGGGAAAAAGTATTTGATCCCCTGCTGATTTTGTATGTTTGCCCACTGACAAAGAAATGATCAGTCTATAATTTTAATGGTAGGTTTATTTGAACAGTGAGAGACAGAATAACAACAACAAAATACAGAAAAACGCATGTCAAATGTTATAAATTGATTTGCATTTTAATGAGGGAAATAAGTATTTGACCCCCTCTCAATCAGAAAGATTTCTGGCTCCCAGGTGTCTTTTATACAGGTAACGAGCTGAGATTAGGAGCACACTCTTAAAGGGAGTGCTCCTAATCTCAGCTTGTTACCTGTATAAAAGACACCTGTCCACAAAAGCAATCAATCAATCAGATTCTAAACTCTCCACCATGGCCAAGACCAAAGAGCTCTCCAAGGATGTCAGGGACAAGATTGTAGACCTACACAAGGCTGGAATGGGCTACAAGACCATCGCCAAGCAGCTTGGTGAGAAGGTGACAACAGTTGGTGTGATTATTCGCAAATGGAAGAAACATAAAAGAACTGTCAATCTCCCTCGGCCTGGGGCTCCATGCAAGATCTCACCTCGTGGAGTTGCAATGATCATGAGAACGGTGAGGAATCAGCCCAGAACTACACGGGAGGATCTTGTCAATGATCTCAAGGCAGCTTGGACCATAGTCACCAAGAAATTGTAACACACTATGCCGTGAAGGACTGAAATCCTGCAGCGCCCGCAAGGTCCCCCTGCTCAAGAAAGCACAAATACGTGCCCGTCTGAAGTTTGCCAATGAACATCTGAATGATTCAGAGGAGAACTGGGTGAAAGTGTTGTGGTCAGATGAGACCAAAATTGAGCTCTTTGGCATCAACTCAACTCGCCGTGTTTGGAGGAGGAGGAATGCTGCCTATGACCCCAAGAACACCATCCCCACCGTCAAACATGGAGGTGGAAACATTATGCTTTGGGGGTGTTTTTCTGCTAAGGGGACAGGACAACTTCACCGCATCAAAGGGATGATGGATGGGGCCATGTACCATCAAATCTTGGGTGAGAACCTCCTTCCCTCAGCCAGGGCATTGAAAATGGGTCGTGGATGGGTATTCCAGCATGACAATGACCCAAAACACACGGCCAAGGCAACAAAGGAGTGGCTCAAGAAGAAGCTCATTAAGGTCCTGGAGTGGCCTAGCCAGTCTCCAGACCTCAATCCCATAGAAAATCTGTGGAGGGAGCTGAAGGTTTGAGTTGCCAAACGTCCAGCCTCAACCTTAATGACTTGGAGAAGATCTGCAAAGAGGAGTGGGACAAAATCCCTCCTGAGATGTGTGCAAACCTGGTGGCCAACTACAAGAAACGTCTGACCTCTGTAATTGCCAAAAAGGGTTTTGCCACCAAGTACTAAGTCATGTTTTGCAGAGGGGTCAAATACTTATTTCACTCATTAAAATGCAAATCAATTTATAACATTTTTGACATGCAATTTTCTGGATTTTTTTGTTGTTATTCTGTCTCACTCTTCAAATAAACCTACCATTAAAATTATAGACTGATCATGTCTTTGTCAGTGGGCAAACATACAAATCAGCAGGGGCTCAAATACTTTTTTCCCTCACTGTATATAAATTATTCCCAGATTCCGTGTGGTTTTTGAGTGGTGTTAGTTTTAACAGGATGTGCAACCTGAATATAGATATTTCTTTTTTGTCGCTCTATTGATTTTAACGTGAGATCGATACAAGTAATTGACAAAAGTGTTGCTTTTCCCTTTCTGTTTTGGTGACCCCCGTATCAAAATCCAACATTCTGGATTTTGATTGTTGTCCTCTAACCAGGTTTAAATAAATATACTGATTACTATTGTTGCACATGCATGTGTAGATGGTATATTTTAGGTTTACAATATCACAAATGTTTCTGCATATTGGTTATTGATTTGGACATGTTAAAGCTGTGTTTTGACATGCTATTTATCAACTTAAGTTGAACTTACAACATTAATTTAATCCAAAAACTGCTGAATAATTTAAAAAACGTGCTGCAATTTTGATTTTATTTTGCTAAACCAGAAATCACTGAATCAGGTTTGCCCTGCCTACTTGTAGTGTGATTTGGTACAGTAGTGTGCTGCAGTCAATCGTCTCTCTGGGAGACTGGGACCTGGTGCTTCGGTGAAACTGACCTGGCTACAGCTGTCTGATTCGTAGTGCTATGGGGAACGGTGGTTGGGGCTGTGGTCTGGTAGTGTGTAATGGGAATCCTGCTGCCTGCTGATGCCATACTTTCCTCATGTTCTCATTCGAGGACATGCCACAGACCTGAGCCAGGCAGCATGTACACACACACACAGAGATCTCTCCTTCCAATTACTCAGAGGTGCTCGTGGAATTGGTTACATCTGAGCACGTTATCAGAGCAAGCCATGCAAAGGGTGACCTGGACAGCGTATGTGCCACTCAGAGAAAAACACACACACACCTTCTAGAATGGTATAGTAACTTATGCATGATTATCTCTCTTTTGTATTCTGTTTCACTGTCCAACAGCATCTTGTTGGGAGATTGATTGGGAAGCAGGGGCGATATGTGAGCTACCTGAAGGAGACATCCGGAGCAAAGATCTTCATCTCCACCCTGCCTTACACCCAGGAGATCCAGATCTGCCACATAGAGGGTGAGTGCACGAGACGCTGGCTCTCCACAACAGGACATCACTTGTAGTCGGGCACCTAGTCTGTGGGAGCTGCAGTGCCCCTTGTGGCTTGCTCAGTTTGTCCCTCTGTTTCCTCCAGGGTCAAAGGAGCAGGTGGATGGTGCTCTGGAGCTGATCAGGAAGAAGTTCAAAGATCTGGATGTAACCAGCTGTTATGTCCAACCTCCAATGGCCAGTCTGCCATCCCTCCCCATCACATCCTGGGTAAGTAATATCTTCTGGTTGGCTGAAGTAGTGTGGGACTGTGGGTAGTGCTTTGACGAAAAGCCTCTCTCTCTCTCAGCTGCTGCTTCCCCATAGGGTGACAGTTGAGGTAACCGTGATCCAAGTAGCCTCTGGGAACTATGTGTTCCTCCAGCAGCACACACACCCCACCTTCCATGCGCTCCGCAACCTGGACCAAGAGATGAGCTTGTGCTACTCTCACCCAGGGTGCCCTCCCTTGCCGGCCCCAGTGGAAGGTAGGCATGCACAGCCAGTGCTTTGGGACTCCTTACCCTCAGAGGTGATAAAGTGTATTTCAGTGGTGTTGTCAAATGTCCTTTCTCAAATGTTTTCCTCTCTCACACACACACACACACACACACACACACACAGTGGGAGTGATCTGTGCTGCCCAGATGACTGAGGGAGCCTGGTGGAGAGCGCAGGTGGTGGGTTACTATGAAGACACCAAGGAGGTGGAGCTCCGCTATGTGGACTATGGAGGCTATGTCATGGTGAAGATCGACACCCTCCGCCAAATCAGGTGACACACACTCACTGTGGGGAATCTAAATATAACTGGAATAGGAGTTGACGTTGGAATTAACCAGTGTTTCCATTAGCTGGTAAAAGCAGCTTTTGGACATTTCTTTTGTATAATTTTATTATGAATAATTTTTTTATGCGTAAAACCAGACCAAATAAAAATGTGTCCGGCAGAAAATATCCTACTATCAACATCCTCTATCAATCACATTGGCTATTCATGGACGTTGGTTCAGGTTCTTTCAATCGCATCATCTCTCTACTCTGCCTGTCGGTTTTGAGAGCACGCTCTTGCTAGCAAACTTTCAACATTGTATTAACTGGTGCTGGCCAGCAAAGTTTCCCTCACCTGTAAGTCTCAAATCAAATCAAATTTGATTTGCCACATGCGCCGAATACAACAGGTGTAGACATTACAGTGAAATGCTTACTTACAAGCCCTTAACCAACAATGCAGTTTAAGAAAAAAAAAATAGCAAATAATTAAAGAGCAGCAGTAAAATAAAATAACAGTAGGGAGGTTATATACAGGGGGTACCGGTGCAGAGTCAATGTGCGGGGGCACCGGTTAGTCGAGGTAATTGAGGTAATATGTACATGTCGGTAGCGTTAAAGTGACTAAGCATAAATAATAATCAACAGAGTAGCAGCAGCGTAAAAGAGGGGGTTGGGGTGGGGTGGAGGGGGCAATGCAAATAGTCCGGGTAGCCATGATTAGCTGTTCAGGAGTCTTATGGCTTGGAGGTAGAAGCTGTTAAGAATCCTTTTGGACCTAGTCTTGGTGCTCCGGTACCGCTTGCCGTACGGTAGCAGAGAGAACAGTCTATGACTAGGGTGGCTGGAGTCTTTGATCATTTTGAGTGCCTTCCTCTGACACTGCCTGGTGTAGAGGTCTTGGATGGCAGGAAGCTTGGCCCCAGTGATGAACTGGGCCGTACGCACTACCCTCTGTAGTGCCTTGTGGTCAGAGGCCGAGCAGTTGCCATACCAGGTAGTGATGCAACCAGTCAGGATGCTCTCGATGGTGCAGCTGTAGAACTTTTTGAGGATCTGAGGACCCATGCCAAATCTTTTCAGTCTCCTGAGGGGGAATAGGCTTTGTCGTGCCCTCTTCACGACTGTCTTGGTGTGTTTGGACCATGATAGTTCGTTGGTGATGTGGACACCAAGGAACTTGAAGCTCTCAACCTGTTCCATTACAGCCCTGTCGATGAGAATGGGGGCGTGCTCTGTCCTCTTTTTTTTTTTTTTTTCCTGTAGTCCACAATCATCTCCTTTGTCTGGTCACGTTGAGGGAGAGGTTGTTATCCTGGCACCACACAGCCAGGTCTCTGACCTCCTCCCTATAGGCTGTCTCATAATTGTCGGTGATCAGGCCTACCACTGTTGTGTCGTCGGCAAACTTAATGATGGTGTTGGAGTCGTGCCTGGCCATGCAGTCATGGGTGAACAGGGAGTACAAGAGGGGACTGAGCACGCACCCCTGAGGAGCCCCCTGTTGAGGATCAGCGTGGCAGATGTGTTGTTAAGTTGTTAACTACCCTTACCACTTGGGGGGAGGCCCATCAGGAAGTCCAGGATCCAGTTGCAGAGGGAGGGAGGTGTTTAGTCCCAGGGTCCTTAGCTTAGTGATGATCTTTGAGGGAACTATGGTGTTGAACGCTGAGCTGTAGTCAATAAATAGCATTCTCACGTATGTGTTCCTCTTGTCCAGGTGGGAAAGGGCAGTGTGAAGTGCAATAGAGATTGCATTATCTGTGGATCTGTTGGGGCGGTATGCAAACTGGAGTGGGTCTAGTGTTTCTGGGATAATGGTGTTGATGTGAGCCCTAACCAGCCTTTCAAAGCACTTCATGGCTACAGACGTGAGTGCTACGGGTCGGTAGTCATTTAGGCAGGTTATCTTAGTGTTCTTGGCACAGGGACTGTGACCGACACAGAATTGTCCACCGAGGAGTATTTAGATCGGTGTTTCCAAACTCCAGTCCTCCAGTACCCCCAACAGCACACACAGCCCCGGACAAGTGCACCTGATTCAACTTGTCAACTAATCATCAGGTCCTCAATGAGTTGAATCAGGTGAGTTTGTCTTACAACAAAATTGTGTGCTGTTGGGGGTACTCGAGGACTGGGGTTGGAAAACGCTGATTTAGATGTAATTTTGCTTCCAATGCCTCATCGTGTAGTTGGCTTAAAAATACTTAAACTGCAAATCAATCTAGCTAACTAGCTACTGTACCAAGGATGGAGGCACAGACAAGTGGGAAAATAGATCGACACTGAAACAGAATATTTACAAGCCAGATGGACAGAGACGTGCATTTTGCAAGGAGCCAACGTTCACTTGGTAGGTTATCATTCCTCCTTGCATAATTATTGTAGTCACTTCCATGTGGTGTCAATTAATCGGCAGTGGGTAGTCCTAAAAAAAGCATTACCTTACACGTGACCGCATTTAGAAGGGTTCCTATTTGATATGGCCTGTAAAGCTCACATTTGATCTGCATATTTTTTTCCTAATGGAAACGTGGGGATTGACAGTGGGATTGACTGCTGTTGATGTTCTTCCTACAGATCTGACTTTGTGGCCTTGCCTTTCCAAGGGTCTGAGGTGATCCTGGAAAGTATTGCACCCCTTCCAGGTATGTTTCAGCTGTATTTATGAAAACAGAATATCAAAATGTTGTCAACAGTTTAAACTCTGCATTTAAACATGAATTCAAGTTAATGCTCTCATCACTGCGATATCTCTTCCCTTTCTACTAGGAGAAGAAGGGTTCTCCGCTGCAGCCAAATCTGCACTGGAGGAAATGACACGAGGATTGCCACTACTTGCACAGGTAGAGAAAAGAGAAGTGCATGGATATGTCTCCCTCTCCTTCTGCTGGTGTACAGTCAGCACAATGACATAAGGAAAGGTTGTCGCTGTTCTTACCCTGTATATCTGCACACTCTCCAGGTCACAAACTGTCACACCAGTGGCATTCCTTTGGTACAGATATGGAAAACCGAAGGAGAAGAGGTATGCCAACTTTTTTCTTTTCTTTTTGGAAACATGAAAGCATCCACTCTGTAAATATGTGTATGTTAAACCGCTTAATTTATAAAAGTATTATAATGGGTTCATGTTGCTAATGTTTCTCTCTTGGTCTTTCAGTTGGTGTCTGTGAACCGTGCTCTGGTGGATAACGGACTGTGCAGCTGGGTAGACCGCCTCTGACTGTGAAGCGCAATCCTGGCCCTGTTTGGATAGTTTTCAAATGCATCCTCCCTCCCTTGTGAGGTAAGCACAGATCTTTAAGGGATTGGATATGTGTGAGTAAGGTTACCATCCCTATTACTTTCACCAATCCACCAATTCAGATCTGTGATCACTTCAAGGAAGGTAGGAAGGAACATTGGATTTCTGAAGTATTCAAACATGGTCGCTGTCTTGCAGTCAAGCCTTTCACCTTTCTACCCCCTCAGTCCCATCCTCTTGACTGCTGCCCTGTTGGGGCACAACAATGTCTTCTTTCTCAATCAGCTGTTCATACCTGTTGTTTCTTTACAACCATGTACACATTTTGTTAATTATGATTACATGATTTGTCCAATACGATTCATGATTAATCTAATTACTATTTTGTTTTCAATGGATACGATCCTATTAAGAAACTAAATAAAGATGAACTGTCCTTACTGAGGTCTCCTCTTTGACCATAGCCACAGACTGTTATGTTATCAGATGTACAGTATAGTGTAGCTACAGTCTGTATTGACTTCAATCAGATCTCATTAAATTAATGCATATTTTGTACATTTTGAGTTTGTTAGATGATACACAAATTCAGGAGCCTTTGTGTATATTGACCTCGATGTCCAAACTAAATATACACTGAGTGTACAAAACAGACGAGGACATTTTTGCTTGGTCAACCGGGGCCCATGAGGAACTTGTCTGGACTGTTAAACTCACTGAGGGATATTGTGCTTGTCCTCAGTGTTTGTTTCTACTTTTTAAGGATGCGCTTGAATTATTTGTATGTCTCGCATGTCTCTGTGATGTTAGTTATGAGTCGTTTTTTAAGTGGATGATCTGGGGAATGATGGAATGAGTAAACAAGAAACTAGTGAATCCAGTAGATGGCGCCTAATGCTTAGATTTTGCTATTCCTATTAGTCAAGCACTAGGCATGACTTTTTGTTTCAATTTAAGGGTCGTATCACCCCAAATTTGTTACGTTATTTGAGTTGGAACTGTATGAAAATGTGAAATGCATAAATATAATATACATATAATTGTTATTTTGTCATGAACTGCCAGATTTGTGGATTGGATTTTCTTACTTTTTGTTCTATTCACCATAATTGACAGTGTCAGTGGTGTACATTGAAGACTGAGTAACAGTTGTTTCTTCCAGCATGCCATCTGGGCATTTCAGTTCAGAAGTCAGTTGTTCTGCTGATAGGATAATGGGGAGGTAGTTGGAAGATTTCAGAAATCACCTGTGGTGCACATTAATTTTCCAGCAAAGGCCTCTAGATAATGCAGCAGCATGCACTTCTTGGTGTCTTTGATTAGACTAATTAAAGGCGTGAGGCATGTAAAAAAAAAATTTTTATTTTTATTTTTTTAAGATCATCGGAGGGCAGGACTATGAGGAGCCTCATCCAAGACCCCTATTGATTAATGAAGTCACACTGTCATTCTCCATTATCTCCGCTGCTCATAATAGCACACTCACTCACCCACCAACAGTGGAGAGGAGAGATTGAAGGATTAGCAAAGGTCTCCTCACGTTGAGCTCCATAAATGCTCTCTTTAGTCATGATGATCGTCAGTGCTATACTCCATGATGTTTGGATTGTGCTGCTGAGTGCAAGGAATCATTTGTATTTAATTTAATGTCAGTTATCTTTATGTAATGTTGTTTCTTAAAAAATGGAGTAAAATGTTAATTTGTGATTGTTGAAACAGAATACAAAGGTTGCCTTTTCAAAGATGAAACTAGCAATGTATTTAGGGTTATGAATTACTCCCAACTTAATATTGTTGAATAGTATTTTCCTATGAACAATATTTTATTTATATATTAACCGAGAGTGCTATATTGTTGTAGGCCTACATTACGATATCCTGCAAATGATCGTACTGGATATTTCTGTGAAGTTGTGTGGGTGGCTAACCAGCACAGGTGCAATTGATTAGTCAATCAATCATGGGACCTAATGTAGGACACAGGTGTGCTGGGAATTAATTGGAGGATGGTAAAGGTAAATATTTTGTATCATCCAATCACAGGTATTGCTTTTTTAACACAGTTTAGAAGGCTCTGGTAAAAATAAGTCATCCTGTTTTTGGCTTGACATATTTCCTCTTAAAAATACAGTAATATAGCAAAACAGAGCAATCACTACCAAATAGTAAGATTCTATCTGCTATTTATGCTCCACTATTTATTCTGTAAAATGACCTTTTAATCTGAAAGATTGTTGAATCACTGCTTTTTGTATTTAATAAATACCAATATCAACATTATGAATTGACATGCATGGCATCAAAACCATGGTGGTTGTGTCTGATGAATACTGCAGGCCAGGGCCATGCTTTGAAGTAAATGTCATCATTACAATATGGGTTGAATATGTGAAGTCATTATTAGGGAATAGACAGCGGCAGAGCCCCCTAACACAGAACAGCAGAGTCACTGAGATCTGTGGATCCATCTCTTCTGGCGCACTTGATTTGAGCTTGCGGTAGGAGGACAAGAGACCTTGTGACAGCTGCAGCAGACAAGGATGTCCCCAGCCATCCTCTCTCTCCCTCCTTCCCTTTAAATCTCCAATAGCTTCATGCGATCAGCATCCACAGGCCTGGTTATCCCTCTGCCGTCCTTGAGTTACTGTGACATTTCTGCGTGCTGAATGCCATCTCTACAGAGGAGCTGTTTGAGAACAAAGTCTTCATGTTGAATGCTTGTCAATGCTATGTTCAACATTTCAATGCTCTCAGGACACAATGTTTCCTTGTCTCTAGGCTCAGCTTTCTGGGTAGAGGGGTTCACTTTATTGAGCTAGTGTTACATTTCACAGCTTCATGTTTTAACCTTATTAAATTGATACAGTCCCCAAATTTTCCTCAATGAGAAATGCATCAGTAACTTCTGGGGAGTTTAAAAAATATATATTTAATGGTGCAACACAGGAACATGTATGTTTCTCATTTCAATGGGGAATCGAGTCATAAATGTTTTGAAATGCAAAGGCATCAAATTGATATGTTCAAAACATGTAACAGATGTAGGATATTTAAAAAATGAAACCGTCCTTTACATACTTTATGCGTTCATTAATCAAACACAGATGCTATTGTGACTGCAGGCACACTCACAAATGTGTCCCTGCTGTAGAATGATACAATGCAGTTTCCTCACTTGTCAAGGGTGTTCCCATGCATTTTACGTATTGTCTCGATAACCTTGATCACTAAAATACCAATATTTTCCCTTTATTTTTCAGCGCTCAACTAACCTTTGTCTGTGTGTATTGGTAATTATTAGGTAGGGATTGATTACATTCATATGTAGAGAGGAAGGGTTTATCATATATATCATCATGACTGGTGAAAGGGATCTCAGCTGGAGAGCAGCATTGCCATGTTGTTTTGAAGGCTGAATTGCATCTCAGACATGCTCACTTAACGCTAGTGGCTGCTCAGATTAAAGGGAATGCACCACCACTCCATAAACCTTGGCTTGGAGTGTTTTCATTTAGTGAATACAACAGCTGTCACAATTACTGCGATAGATCCGCATTATGATATTTACTTGCCTTGTGTAAAGTACTTTGATGTATTTGGTTGTTTAGAGCTCAGCTTAACCGTGTGAATGCCTGTCAGAGAAACACAGAACAGAATACGATAAACCGTATAAATTGACTCATTTACCAGAGAAAATATCAACATTTAGTTGTTTGTAATATTGATCATTTCAAGTGGCTTTTTCCTCTTTGAGTGGTGATTCATACAAAAATAATCAATTGCAGTACCTTCAGAAAGTATTCACACCCCTTGACTTTTTCAACATTTTGTGTTACAAAGTGGGATTTAATTGCCATTTTTTTGTCAACGATCTACACAAAATACTCTGTCAAAGTGGAAGAAAAGTTCTAACATTTGTAAAAAAAATTAAAACAAACACTATCTTGATTAGATAAGTATTCAACCCCCTGAGTCAATACATGTTAGAAACACCTTTGGCAGCGATTACAGCTGTGAGTATTTCTGGGTGTCTCTAAGACCTTTCCACACCTGGATTGTGCAACATTTGCCCATTATTCTTTTCAAAATTCTTCAAGCTCTGTCAAATTGGTTGTTGATCATTACTAGACAACCGTTTTCAGGTCTTGCCATAGATTTTCAAGCAGATTTAAGTCAAAACTGTAACTCCACTCTGGTCTTGGTAAGCAACTCCAGTATATATTTTGCCTTGTGTTTTAGGTTATTGTCTTGCTGAAAGGTGAATTCATCACAGTGTCTTAGTTCCATTCCATTTTTCTTTACCCTGAAAAACTCCCCAGTCCTTAACGATAACAAGCATACCCATAACATGATGCAGCCACCACTATGCTGGAAAATATGGAGAGTGGTACTCAGTAATGTGTTGAATTGGATTTGACCCAAACATAACACTTTGTATTCAGTGAATTGCTTTGCCACATTTATTTGCAGTATTACTTTAGTGCCTTGTTGCAAACAGGATGCAAGTTTGAGATTTTGTTTTATTCTGTACAGGCTTCCTTCTTTTCACTCTGTAAATTAGGTTAGTTATGTGGAGTAACTACAACATTTGTTGAGCCATCTTCAGTTTTCTCCTATCACAGCCATTAAACTCTTAACTGTTTTAAAGTCACCATTGGCCTCATGGTGAAATTCGTGAGCGGTTTCCTTCCTCTCTGGCAACTGAGTTAGGAAGGACGTCTGTATAGTAGTGACTGGGTGTATTGATACACCACCCAAAGTGTAATTAATAACTTCACCATGCTCCAAGGGATATTCAATGTCTGCTTTTTTTAAATTGTATTTTATCTACCAATAGGTGCCCTTCTTTGCGAGGCATTGTAAAACCTCCCTGGTCTTTGTGGTTGAATCTGTGTTTGAAATTCACTGCTCGACTGAGGGACCTTACAGATAATTGTACGTTTGGGGTACAGAGATGAGGTAGTCATTCAAAAAGCATATTAAAAACTATCCATGCAACTTATGTGATTTGTTAAGCACATTTTTACTCCTGAACTTATTTAGGCTTGTCATAACAAATGGGTTGAATACTTATTCACTCAAGACATTTCAGCTTTTCATTTTTAATTAATTTGCAAACATTTTGAAGAACATAATTCCACTTTTACATTATGGGTTATTGTGTGTAGGCCAGTGACAAAAAAAATCCCCATTTAATCAATTTTAAATTCTGGCTGTAACAACGAAATGTGGAAAAAGTCAAGGTGTGTGAATACTTTCGGAAGGCACTCTACGTTTGGTTTCTGTCTATTGTCTAGGAATAAGAGCAGATTCAACATTGGTTAGAATAGCTTCATATAAAATGTTTATTGTACAAAAATGTTGACCTGTGTGGCTTGTGACCAACACCGAAACTAGCTCTCATAGACAAACCAGTTCAAAGTCAGCAATGACATGACTTTGCAACCGGTTCTAAGTGCCGTACAAGGGTTCTACTGAAGAAAAAAGTATAAATTCCAGGAACTGTGTGTGTGACACGACTTAATAATAATATGCCATTTAGCAGACGCTTTTATCCAAAGCAACTTACAGTCATGTGTGCTTACATTTTTACGTATGGGTGGTCCCGGGGATCGAACCCACTACCCTGGCGTTACAAGCGCCATGCTCTACCAATTGAGCTACAGAGGACACTTAAAAGTGTTCTCCTAAAAAAATAATAGATACATTCTTGTGTGTGCGTGTGCGTCTTCCTCCCTCTGTCTTATGCCGCAGTAAGGAAATAAACAGTAATCACTGTACCATGACTTGAAATCCACTGAGCATCCAGTTTTAATTGAGCTCTCACTTGTGTTCAGATTTAATGGAAAACAAGGCCCGCTTCCCCCAGTTACTGAGTAATGAACATGCATATTCAGAGGTTACTTTTAAATCTGTCTTTTTTCTCTCCTTTTCCATTTTCAGGTGGACTGCGTTTCTTGTACTGTAGCGTTTCAAAATCCAACATGGAATAAAATGATAAAATGTTTTCCTATTAAAATAATCTCTTATTATAAGTGATTAAAGGGGATGTGAGGTGTGACATTTCTTCAAACCATTTGAACACACAAAATATCCCTATTCTATGCATAGCCGTGCAGTGTACTTGTGGTTATTAGAAATAGAGCCCTTTTCTATACAGTATAGTGCAACACATGTAGTTCAGGCTAATAATGTGGTACTGTAGACCTACTTTAACCTGTCTTTGAAATTGTTAATATTTAACTATCTACTGTACATGTTCATACAAACATGCATAAAATATTAATGCATATTAATGCACAGATTATATACTATAGATATATATTGTGAATAAATAATTGTTTGCGCCTTTATATCACCAATATTCTCATTATTTAACCTAAATAGGTTAGGGGTTAGGTTAAATAATGAGAATATTGGTGATATAAAGGCGCAAACAATTATTTATTCACAATATATATCTATAGTATATAATCTGTAATAGCCAATATGCCTATTTTGAGCCATGGCCTGTTCACCCAGCTACCATCTAGAAGGCTGAGACAAGGACAGGTGCATCAAAGCTGGGACCGAGATACTTTTAAACAGCTTCTATCTCGAGGGCATCAGACTCTTAAACAGTCACCACTAGCCGGCCTCCACCCAGTACCCTGCCCTGAACCTTAGCCACTGTTACTAGCCGGCTACCACCCGGTACTCTACCCTGCACCTTAGAGACTGCTTTGCCCTATGTACATAGTCATTGAGTACTGGTCACTTTAATAATGTTTACATATTGTTTTACCCACTTATTTACATATTGTTTAACACAAGTATTTCGCTGCACCTGCGATAATCTGGGTACATGACCAATACACTTTGATTTGAATTGATTTTATTTTTTGCTAATATAATCTATTTTTGGACTTAAACTATGAACTAACGTGGGCCATCATTAATGGTTTCTCTAATTGCATGTGCGCCCTGAAAGAAAATTACGCATTCTAATAAAATGTTGCCATTAGGGCATATACATTTTTTTATCGACATTGTAACTAATCAATTGTTACATTGACAGAGGAACGTTATGACCAATATGGGGAGTGGTTTTCTGAATTTTATAGGCGGATTTTCTGTATTGACGTCAATTGGATTGGTTAGGTGACGAGCCCTCGCCCCGCCCAGTGTGGGGTAAGGGAGTGTATGCCTAGAGAGGGAGGGAGCTAGGCTGAGCTGATCCCACGTGTGACGATTCCATTCCCGGCTCAGTAATATTCTCATAGCAGGGCTTTGCATAGCTTTTGCCGTGTCTGTGTGTGTCTGTTACTGTAGTTACTGCCTATAGTTTGGTTAGCTATGGAAGGAGATGGGAGTCAAGCCACATCTGGAAGCCCAAATGATTCACAACATGACCCGGGGTAAGATTATATCATTTTCGACTTTTATTTATTTATTGGATTTTTCATATGAGAATATCTGGCAGAGAATTTAGCAGAGTGCCGTGCTAGATTCAGCTCGCAGTGCGCACATAACCATTGGTCTTTCCTTCCGGATGCAGTTATTGATAGCTATGAAGCTTCTGCTTTGCTTTGGCAGATTACAGTAGCAAGTGTGTCTTCCCCCTTTTCACATAATACATTATTGCTATCCAGCGAATGTTTTTTTTTTTGCTTCTCTCTATTTAAGATCGCTTTTATAAGTAGTTAGTCTTCAAAATGGCCGATCTAACATCTGGACTCACTTCTGCTATGTTTTCTTTTTACAGTAAAATGTTTATCGGTGGCCTCAGCTGGCAAACCTCACCAGGTGAGACAATTATTCCCTTAAATTTCCCATGTTTCTTGTTGTTTTGTTGCAATGATCGATTGTGCTTGCACGCGTTCTCTGTGTGTGCGTGTGTGCAGTATACTGTATGGATATGTGTGTGCCTGTGTGCGTGCAAGGTTGTTTGTTATTTCCAATCATCTGAAGTCCTCTATTCGACCCCTATGTGCATTGCAGGGCGTTTTTGAATCACACTGACAACAGTATGACGACCATTTGTACTTGACTAATTACCCAACATATTTCCTCTATTCACAGACAGCCTTAGAGACTATTTTAGCAAATTCGGAGAAATAAGAGAATGTATGGTGATGAGAGACCCCACGACAAAACGTTCCAGGTAAAATAAAAGGTTTTTACTTTTGCTTTGCAGTAGGTGAAATTATATCCTACGCTTGTGTACATGCCACATTTTAACCGGGGTTGTTTGTCGCGCGTTGTGTTTCACAGAGATAGCTGCACCTGTATTGCTCGCACTAAACAGCGGGCAAATGCAATTTGACATTGACTTTGGGAATGGGGACTGCAATAACGTCATATAACTTAAATATCAGTGCCCGCAATTATTATAGTAATCTATAATTCAGTATAGGCTTATCTCTATCATCTGAATGAATAGGGGTTAATTAGGATAGTGTAAATACATGTGTGTGCAGTTCTATTTTTTGAATGATAATGAATTCCTGATACCATGTTAATGCACTGAGAGAAACAGTTGAGCCTATATTTCTATGTTCACATTTGCATAAATAATGTGTGATCTAATTGATGTTTCTCTGTGTTTCTTTGTTTTGCAGAGGATTTGGGTTCGTTACGTTTGCAGATGCTGCCAGTGTAGATAAAGTCTTAGCTCAACCACACCACGAATTAGACTCAAAGACGGTATGTTTGTGTTTTGATGTCATTTGCAATGATATTTTACTGTCTGTGTTGCACATTTTAAATGTTCATCATTGCCTTCATTTCACAGGCATGCTTGAGTTGTAATAATACTGTAATATAAGTTCCACATAGAAAAATAATACCACATTGAAACCAACAACAACTGCAGTACATCCATGTATGGCAAGTGGCATCTCTGAATGCTCAGAATGCCATGTACCGGTCACTGGGTTGGCCCTCTTGTTAAAGACCTCTTAGGTAAAACCATTCATTTTATCAAGGCTGTAGATGTGGAATAATCCCATGATAACACCGTTGCCTCATCCATTCAAACTGTTGCAGTAAAACACCACTCAGAGGTGAATCTCATATCTGCTCAAATTCCCTCCTGTGAATGAATTAAACTGACACGCCCCCCCCCCCCCCCCTTTCCCCATTCCCATTATGGCTCCACATGTGCACATATCTCATGTTACTCTAATAGGCTCTCTCTCTCAGGCCTCCCACCTCCATGCACATGACCTTTCAGATCATACACGTCACTCTAGTCAGTTTGATGCATATCGCATCATTGGAAGTGGAAAGTTACAAATGTGATTGTATTAAATAATTGTTGACGCCCAAAAGGTCCATTAATCCTGTAAATCTCTTGACAAATATTTGGTATTTCTTTACATCAGTGGATCTATTCTTATACATAAGTGTATTTTAAATATTAGAACTGTTGCTTCTAAGGTTTCAAATTGCCAACACCTTCCCAATTACCAAAACCTATTTTCTGTCTTCTTATAATATCAACAAACCTGGTGCTTCTCCCATCAGTTTACCTCATGTACTTTTCCATCAGACCAAGGCATCCATACACACGCCGCACACACACACACGGCATCCCCATTTATGCTGTTTTATCAAAAGCCTTGAACTATTGTGTTGTGCTTCCCTTTTGAAATGTGGCAGTAGATAAATAATTAAGCATGTCAGTAATTTTTTGAAGAGCTGTCTGAGATATCTGCTCGGTGGGTGGTGATATCCAGTCATGCTCACACAGCTCTGGAATTGGAATAGTCCATACCGAGAAATAAACGCTTTGTTTGCAGCCTTCTGTGAAAGCAAAGTTCAGATGGGAGTGTATGTCTTTGAGATATATTTGGAATGACAAACCTATTGTACTTCAGCAAGCAGTGTTCAATTACAGTGGAGCCTGGCTGAAAGCGGTGCTATAACTTGTTGTAAGGCTGTCCTGACCTGATTGGAAAGTCACTGGAGGGTGCTTGTAAAAGCTTTCCGTTTTTATCTTGATACTTGAAAGTGAAAGAGGATTGGGTTCATGTTTTGCATGTTAGAAAAGGAAACTAGCACCTGTAAGCTGTTGCAGACAATCTTGGGTTGCGTAATGCAGATAGTGAGGAGAAAGCCACAGAGTACTTAATTTAATGTGTGATTATTTGATACACACACTATGACAAATGTTATCGCTTAGAGCTCTGCGACATTTTAGAATATATGGCATACATGTAGGAATTAAATCATTGATAAATAGCCTACACCCATGCAGTATAAATACTGCCGATTAGCATGTGTTCTATATGTATGTCTGAATATGGTACGTATAGGATAGTGTAGATATACAGTACTCTTGATACATCTAAATTAGAGAGTGAAGAACTCTTTCTTTGTGATAATGAATATGCTTTAGTAACCTTAATTGAATCACACTTGTTTTGCCCCTCATGGTGTAGATAGAATGCAGGTGGCACAACAGTTGGTTATTGACAAAGCACTCATACCAATGTACTTTATTTTCTCTATAGAGATGAGAAGTCTCATCTGGTGTCTACACTTGGAGATGTATCTATTTGTTTCATCCACATTTCTTACCATAACTGAACAACTAATACGACTCAAAGATAAACAATTCTGCCTGACAAACTAACCATAGTTAGTAACAATGAGTTGCCTGTAGTTACATTGTAATTAGACATATTGTCAAAAAAATCACTGGTATTAGTTCCGTTGAATTTATTGTTTGGATTATTTAATGTAAAGTATAAATAAAGCTCTCGCCTTAATAAAGCCATTTGGTTTCCATTATGTCTGTACAGTATGTAATGAATAAGACTTAATTTGAGTGAAGTAAACGATAATTGAAATTGCAGGTTATAGCTTGATATATTTTATGTCGAATTTTTTTAAAACATGCAATCACATAATGTTTTATTTGTTTATTTTCTTCCAGAACATTACACATTTATTAATAACTGTTAGTTAAATTTCCCTTGCACTAAGGTTTGTTGTGTTAATAATATTGACAGATGGCATCTTGATAAGCAAGCGAGAATACCCCATTAAAATCATTAGGATTAGGATTCTAAATGCACAATGGTTTAGCAGTTGAAGAGTTCTTTGTATGAGCTGAGTAATTGAAGGACCTAACCTAAAGTGTGGCCCTGTTAATACTAAGCAATGCTGAGATCGACATTTGATAGTTCCTGATGTGCCACTGAGGTTAAATAGGGCACTTTGCCGGCATGCAAAGGAAGCGACTGTTGTTACATCACATAGACCTGAACCAGCAGTGTTCTGCCTTATATTCCATTCCATCAGTCTTTCTGCAGAAGCGCACATGTAGGATGTACAGTGCCTAGTGAAAGTCTACACACCCCTTGCACAGTCTTCACATTTTGCTGCCTTAAAATTCAAAAGGGATTAAAAGTTATAGAATATGTCTTGATAGCGTATGTCTTCACACCCCAGAGTTAATACTTGGTGGAAGCACCTTTGGTAGCCATTACAGCTGTGAATCATTTGAATAATAATCTACCAATTTTGCACAACTATTAGGGTAACATACACTACCGGTCAAACGTTTTTCTTTATTTTTACTATTGTCTACATTGTAGAATAATAGTGAAGACATCAAAATATGGAATTATGTAGTAACCAAAACATTGTTAAACAAATCAAAATATATTTCATATTTGAGATTCTTCAAATAGCAACCCTTTGCCTTGATGACAGCTTTGCACACTTGGCATTCTCTCAACCAGCTTCACCTGGAATGCTTTTCCAACAGTCTTGAAGGAGTTCCCACATATGCTGAGCACTTGTTGGCTGATTTTCCTTCACTCTGCGGTCCGACTCATCCCAAACCATCTCAACTGGGTTGAGGGGGGATTATGGAGGCCAGGTCATCTGATGCAGCACTCCATCACTCTCCTTCTTGGTAAAATAGCCCTTACACAGCCTGGAGGTGTGTTGGGTCATTGTCCTGTTGAAAACAAATGATAGTCCCACTAAGCCCAAACCAGATGGGATGCCGTATCGCTGCAGAATGCTGTGGTAGCCATGCTGGTTAAGTGTGCCTTGAATTCTAAATAGGTCACAGACAGTGTCACCAGCAAAGCACCTCCACACCATAACACCTCCTCCTCCATGCTTTACGGTGGGAAATACACATGCAGAGATCATCCGTTCACCCCCACCGCGCCTCACAAAGACACGGCGGTTGGAACCAAAAATCTCAAATTTGGACTCCAGACCAAAGGACACATTTCCACCGGTCTAATGTCCATTGCTCGTGTTTCTTGGCCCAAGCACGTCTCTTCTTCTTATTGGTGTCCTTTAGTAGAGGTTTCTTTGCAGCAATTCGACCATGAAGGCCTGATTCACACAGTCTCCTCTGAACAGTTGATGTTGAGATGTGTCTGTTACTTGAACTCTGTGAAGCATTTATTTGGGCTGCAATTTTTTAGGCTGGTATCTCTAATGACCCTATCCTCAGCAGCAGAGATAACTCTGGGTTTTCCATTCCTGTGGTGGTCCTCATGAGAGCCAGTTTCATCATAGCGCTTGATGGTATTTGCGACTGCACTTGAAGAAACTTTCAAAGTTCTTGACATTTTCCGTATTGACTGACTTTCATGTAATGATGGACTGACGTTTCTCTTTGCTTATTTGAGATGTTCTTGCCATAGTATGGACTTGGTCTTTTACCAAATAGGGCTATATTCTGTATACCCCCCCTACCTTGTCACAACACAACTGATTGGCTCAAACGCATTAAGAAGGAAAGAAATTCCACAAATTAACTTTTAAGAAGGCACACCTGTTAATTGAAATACATTCCAGGAGACTACCTCATGAAGCTGGTTGAGAAGAATGCGAAGAGTGTGCAAAGCTGTCATCAAGGCAAAGGGTGGCTATTTTAATAGTATTTTTTGGTTACTACATGATTCCATATGTGTTATTTCATAGTTTTGATGTCTTCACTATTATTCTACAATGTAGAAAATAGTAAAAATAAAGAAAAACCCTTGAATGAGTAGGTGTTCTAAAACTTTTGACCGGTAGTGTATATATATTGTTTTTGTAAAAATTGTTTAAGCTTAGTAAATTTGGTTGGGAGTCATTGATGGACAGCAATATTCAAACCTTGTCTCAGATATTCAAGCAAATTCAAGGCAGGACTGAGACTAGAAAAACAGAAAGGAAAACGCTGCACACTGCTGCTCATGCTCCCAGGTGATATTTATTTAAAACAACGTTTCAACCCTTAGGTCTTCATCAGGCATCCATATCCCAGGTGGGGGTGGAATTTTTTACTTCCTGAAACAGGAAGTAAAAAATGTATAACATACATTGAATATTAATATAGTGAATCTATCAAAATATATGATCATATACAAAGAATGTGATCAATATTTACAGTAATATACATACAATGTTCAATTAGGATTTTAAAAAAACACAATTTGGACATATTGAAACTATAAAAATGGTTTCAAGTCAAACTCCTCGTTAAGGCCAAGAGGAGACAGTGTGTTGAGCCTGTGGATCCAGAAAGATTCCCTTTGAAGAAGTTTCCTCTCAATGTCCCCTCCCCTGCGTGACATCTTGACCATTTCTATTCCAATGTATCTCAGAGAACTAATAGGATGTCCAGCTTGTACAAAATGAACAGCAACCAGATTTTTTGTCTCACCTGTCCGTATATTGCTGCG